TTACTTTTATTTCATGTCAGTACATGTGGCAAAAGCAAGTAAAATTCTAATGGCCTCTATTCTGGCAACAGGTGCAAAGGTTTCAGTAAAGTCTATACCTTCCTGCTAAGAGTACCCTTTTGCAACTAACCTTGCTTTGTTCCTTACCACATTCCCTGATTCGTCCAATTTATTTTTGTATACCCATTTTTTTCCTATGATCACCCTGTCCTCGGGCATTAGAACAAGTTTCCAAACGTCATTCTTCTGGAATTGACTTAACTCTTCTTGCATGGCCTAAAACCAGCTTTCATATGATAGGGCTTCGTCCGTGGTTCTTGGCTCAGCTTGGGATAGTAGTGTAGAGGATGGAATTCAGGGCAGTTGTTGTGATTTGTGACTTTGTCATTGGCATGGTTGTCAAAATCAAGTGTTAACTCATAGAACAGTGTTTACGATCTGAGCAGCCTCCTCCGAGCTAAAACACTTCCATAATTGTTTCTTTGCAGCCCTCAGTCAGATTGGCTCAAGCTCACGAGTGCAGGGGATGATAGAGTGGCTTTTTCTTTTGAGGAGTGTTAGCAATACACTTTCTTTTATTTTCATGAGTGGGGTTCAATAAATAAGTAGGGATACTTACATAACTTTGTGATTTCCAACTAATTTTAACCAATAGTAGAGCATGCATTATAATAAGTGTGTTAGGGAGTGTTTTGTTAGCATTTTTCTTTTTTTATTTGTTGTTTATAAACCTTTTTTATGCTTCATCGTATAAAATAAAAAATTTATAACAGAATAAGGCAATTGATGAATTTTACTCCAAAAAATATGTATATAGAAAAGTTACTCATTTTTTCATAATGATTTGATTGTGTGCCAAGGCAGACCATTATTTGCTTGTCACTCAATATTGTTATTTTTTCCATTGTTTCGTGCAAATTATGAATGACTATTTCCTAAGTTTTTTTTTTATACTAGTTTTTGCTTTGATGCTTTCTGAAAAAAAAATTCCCATCAAATTGTACACAACCCTTCTTCCTGAACTAATTTTTGTTATTTGTATGCAGAGCTTCAATGGACTACAGCTCTGAAGAAGACTCAGATATCAGTGAATCTGAGATTGATGACTACTCAGAGAAACCATATGAACAGTTAAAGGCTGGGAAATACAAGGTTAAAAATTTGAATGGAACTCTTAGATGTCCCTACTGTGCTGGGAAGAAAAAACAAGATTACAAATATAAGGATTTATTGCAACATGCATCAGGAGTTGGTAAGGGTTCTGCCAACAGAAGTGCAAAACAAAAGGCAAACCACCTTGCTCTAGCAAAGTACTTGGAGACTGACCTAGCTAGTGAAGCAGATCCAATCCAGCGACCAGCTTTACCCCAAGCTGTTAATCAACCTTTACAGCAAGATGATCTTTATGTTTGGCCCTGGACAGGCATAATTGTTAACATAAAGGATAAATCGATCGATTCTGGATATTGGTTGAAGGAATTTGCCAAATTCAAACCAATGGATTTTCATATATTCTTGAAAGATGGTGATCTCATTGCTCAAGCTGTTATTGACTTCAATTGTGACTGGAATGGTTTCATGAATGCAAGTGAATTTGAGAAGTCATTTGAAAATGCACGTCATGGTAAAAAGGCTTGGAATTCAAGGAAGTCAGAGGCTGGCTCAAACATTTATGGATGGATTGCGCGGGAAGATGATTATAATTGTGGAGGACCAATAGGGGAATACCTCCGCAACAAAGGAAGGTTGAGGACAGTTTCAGATATTGTTCAAGAAGAATCTCAAAGCAGAAATAGTATTGTGACAAACCTAACTCATGAAATTGAGATTACAAACGAAAACCTTGACAAAATGCAGTATAAGTATAATGAGAAGACTATGTCCTTGAGTAGGATGCTTGAGGAGAAAGATAAGATTCACAATGCTTTTGATGAAGGTTTGTATACTTTCAGTTTGTAGCATCTGATTTTGCCTTCTTGCATATATAATCCATATTTTTCAAATGTGGCTATATATGTTTTGCTATTGTGAGATACATTCTTGGGCAATTATGAATGCAGAAGGAAACCTTAAACTATGTAGTTGATAATACTCCATAATTGTTTCACTTCTCTGTCAGAATCAAGGAATATGCAGCGAAGAGCTCGTAATGAGGTACGGAGGATCTTGGATGAACAAGAAAAATTGAGTAGTGAATTGGAGAAAAAAAGGCGCAAGCTTGACTCCTGGAGTAGAGATCTAAACAAACGAGAGGTACTAACTGATCAAGAGAGACAGAAGCTTGAAGAAGAAAGGAAGAAGGTAATATATATTATATTTTTTTGCCTGAAATATATTTGTATTTTAAATATGTTTTTTATTACCTTGATCTTTCTGGCTTATCTATATCTGTCACTTGTCAGTTCAAAACTTTTTGGCCTGTTTTTGTCTTTAATCGGTACTAATATTATATCAGTGGTTGCTACTGATTTACGGCAAGTAATTTATTTTTATGCTATCCACTCCTATTAGATTGAACCCTAAAGTTAATAGTGCCAAATTTATAGCTTCCATTCATTGTGAGGCAATATGAATTCATAAAAATGGTTCTATTTTTAACTCTTATTTATGAAAATAATTAGAAAGAAGGATGTTACCTTCATATGTTATGTGAAACATTAAACACTGAATTCTAAAGTGCCAATGTTAATTTTTGGAGAAAAAAGCAGCTTATTTTTCATTCCATTAATAGCCCTTTAGAACATTTATAGCTTCCATCCATCATTGTGTTAAGGTGCCAATAGGGTTTGAAAACATTATCGTTTATAACGTGCTTTCACAGGATTCTTATATAATCTATTTGTCTTTCTAGAAAGATTTGAGGAATGAATCACTCCTGTTGGCTTCAAAGGACAAGGAGATAGCTGATCAAAATGTCTTGAAGCTTGTTGAGGAGCAAAAGGTTTGCCTCTGTTTGCCTCTATTTTGTATTTAGCATCTTGATTATGAAAAGCTTATGTTATTTATTACTTAATTCTGATAAATCATGAATGCCTTCAATTGATGTGAATTTCAAAATTTCCAGAGAGAAAAACAGGAGGCCTATGACAAGATAATTCAGTTGAAAAAACAGTTAGACGCCAAACAGATGTTGGAAATGGAAATTGAAGAGTTAAGAGGGAAATTGCAAGTTATGAAGCATCTTGGAGATGAAGATGATGCAGCTGTGCAGAATAAGATAAAAGAAATGAATGATGAACTGCAAGAAAAAGTAGACAATTTGGAAAATATGGAGGCCATGAATCAAACCCTCATTGTGAAGGAGCGTCAGAGTAATGATGAACTGCAGGAAGCTCGTAAAGAATTAATAAAAGTATGATCTTGTTTACTTTATCTCTGATAAAAGTCCCCCCTCTATCTATATATAGAGATTTGCCAATTTACACCCACTCGTTTTTTTTTTGGAGTACTTTAGCAATCTAGGTTGCAATTTAAGAAAATCCTAGTTTTATCTTGCTAAATACACTTTAGAAAATTAGTGAGTGTACATTTTCTAACATACACACTTATTTTCAGAAGGAGTAATGTAGCAGCTTAAATCTTGGGTGTATTTTAAGAAAATCCAATTTATATCTTGCTAAAAAATAAATTGGTGCATTTAGGGAATCCTCTATAAGAATTTTGATAAGCTACAACTTCTTCTGTTCCTGAATCTAGTCTAGCTAAGCTGTGAGATATGTTTGCAAGAATATTCTCTCTACCTTTCTGTTGGAAATAAGACTTTTGATATTCCATTATTGTATCGAGTAGATTGTCAAGACTAAAGTTTTGTTTTTTCTTCTAATGTTTTAGGGGTTAGATGATATGCTGAATGGTCCTAGAACTAATATTGGGCTCAAGAGAATGGGAGAGCTTGATCAGAAGCATTTTGTGAATATCTGCAAGAAAAGATTTCCTTCTGGAGAAGCTGAGACCAAGGGTGTTGAGCTTTGCTCTTTGTGGCAGGAGAATGTGAAGAATTCAGCTTGGCATCCATTTAAAGTGATCACAGATGATGATAAAGTTGAGGTATGTGCCACCATGACATGCTTCATGTGTTCATGACGGAGTTCTGTCTTTTAATGCTTAGTTGATTTGGATACTTGTAATGTTCTGTTCACACATTGAAGAAATTTGTTCTATATGCTTTCTTGTCCCGAGAAAAGGGTTTTAATTGTTAGTAATTGATTAATTGTATAATTTGTAGTTAAGTTACAGACTTGGCTTGGCATATGTAAATGTTCCTGTGTTATGCTCTTTCACCTCTTGATCTGGCTTATATCACTAATACTTTTAGCAGAGTAGCATAATACTGAAACAGATAATGATGTTGCATTTATACAGAATATTATAGATGAGGAAGATGACAAGTTACAAAGCCTCAAGCAGGAATGGGGAGATGAGATACATTCAGCTGTTGTTGAAGCCTTGAAGGAAATAAACGAATACAATGCAAGCGGTGGGTATACTGTTGTGGAGCTATGGAACTTCAAGGAAAAAAGAAAGGCTACTTTGAAAGAAGTTATCAATTATATCGTGGATCATATCAAGCCACTTAAGCGCAAGAGAGCTTAGGTAAAAAGGTTAGTGTTTCAAACTATCAGTTGAGTTTTTTTGAGAATTGCTTTGTGTGGCTGATTAAAGAGCAACATTGATATTCCTGTGATGGCTTCTCTGATTAAAATAGAATTTGGAAAGAAAGAATAAAATATTTGGATGCATCTCTGTGTGCATGTGATAACTGTTAGACTTAATGGGTACAGTGATTAATAATATGTAAGTGAACTATGAAGTGATTGATCAACATAAATGAGTTACGTGTGTGGCTAAGGTCATATACGGGTAGTACTTTGCTGGCAATCCTTATTTCCCAAGCTTTGGACCATATGTTGGTTGTTTTCTGTTTTATTCAATCACTGCATCAATAGGTTTTTGCTTTGCTAGAAGTCGGGTGTTTTTAATGTCATTTAAAAGCAGAAGATGAAAATGAATTGATGATGAATAATTTTAGAAGCAGAAGATGAAAACGAAATGGTGATTGACTAATAGAATTAAATAGACCAGTTTTCTAAATTTGTCTAGAGAGAGAAGAAATTCTGTATGTACATATTTCAATTTAGTTAATATCTCTCTTAAAATTTTATCAGATGTTATATCCTGGACTTATCTGAGTCTTTACAGGTGACAAATGCATGATATCTCAACTGGAAGATGGAAAGTAGCACCGTTTTCTTTGGCTTGTAAGAGCCATTTGAAACAAGCTGCTGGAGATGAGCGTTGAATATGATAACATTTCATCATTATTAATCGACTTGAACTCCTGTAATCTGACAAATTTCCTTCATTACTAACTATGAATCAAGTTTCTCATAGTATGTCAATGGATGCTGATCGATCAATATATATATATATATAATTAATGAACCTAGTTTGAGAAGAAAAATGAAGAGAATAGCCATAATAGGGATAATTTGGTTTGAATTTCTTTTGTTATATGAAATAGTAAAAAAAACTTGGAAGGTGGTGAAACAATCCCATCATCCAAATGGATGAAAGGATTTTCCCGTAGTTGTGCTGCCCATTGTGACATAGAAACATGAATGTTTTTATAGCCCAACTTTCTTTTCGTTGGCAAGTTCAAGGGGATAAACCTAGGGTTATCAAGTATTTGAAAACATAATACAATTTAATTGAGTTTATACTATGTACTTATGTTGTGTAAGTTCACGTTCCAGATAGATTAGTTATGATTATGTACTAATGTTATTTCGTATTAATGTTATGATTATGTACTAATGTCTTGATTATAAAATATAAAAAAAACAAAAAAAAAAGAAGCAACTGTCCGCTCTGAATTTTGGAGTTTGTGCTCGAAACTTTTAGATTTCAATCAATTTCAAGTTTTGTCGTCCAGTCCAATTCCGATTTTTCTTTAATTTTTTGCTTGGTTTATATTCAGATTCTTCAAATTAATTTTAAATTAGTTTCTGGAAGCAAACAGAGCAATGTTCCAGAAACTAAGTTTTCAGAACAAACTATAGGTGGAAAAAGGAACGAAATGCAAAAATAGAGAATGGGAACGGGAAGAGACTCACTCGATGTCTTGCCTGAAAATAGCCTAAAAAAGGAGTATAGTTAGAGAAGAAAGGGCCAAACAATTAAAGAATTGGCGACAAATTGAACAAAATGAAAAATGTTATAAAACAATCTGCTTGCAGTCTAGTTTAAAGATGATGCTATCTAAGTTGTTGGATGAGACCCATTTGATTGCTGTAAGGAAAGTTATTGCTTCAGTTTCTTCTGAAAGAAATTCCATAAAATCAAGATGATGTTGTAGTAACAATGTTGTGAACACTTATGCAAGTTGCTGTTCCAAATATTGCTACATCATTGAAAATAGTTGCAACACGATTGCATTCCATGAAACTTTCGTGCGGTTTAATCAATCTAGCATGATTCAGTGTCTGAACAATGGTTGCATGTAGTGAACGTTGATTTTATTTTATTTTTTAAGTAATAAAAATATGAAAGTTTAAGCTAACATGCAATTTAAAGATTTACTTGATAAACTAGTACAATATATATATATATATATATATATATAACATTAAACCCTAAACCCTATATATAACATTAAACCCTAAACCCTATATATAACATTTAATTTGGTGTTTAGATTTAAAAAAAAAAAATTACTCTCTTAATTAATTTATTTAATTATTCTATTATTTTAAAGTTAACTAAGTTTTTTATTATTATTTTTTTATATCAGAGGTACGAATTGCTTCATATAAAGAGAGTACTAAGAGAAGGCCTTGTTGCATAGGGAGCATTTGTCGCTGAGTTTCGGCGCGTCGGAGAGAGCAGTTTTGACAGCGGAGACGCTGCCGCTGTTGCCGCCACAAGCGAGGTACTCTTCCTCAACCACGCCAAACGCTAGTCCACGGTAAATCCCCAACCGTCTCTCGTTCACGGTAAATCTCCAACCTATGATTCTCCGAGCGCGTTTTGGGATAATATGGTTTCTTCGCTGCAGGGTGGAAGTACGGTGGAGTGGTTTGGGTTCGTTGCAGGGTGGAACGACCGTTTCTTCGCGACTGGTTTCACAAAAAATAAGCCAGGTTTGATGTTGTTCCTTGATTTTTTACAATTTAGGTAGTTTTCCTGTGTTTGAAGAGCCAAATGGACAAATGTGTTTTCCTCCTCTGATTAATATCTAGTTTTTACTTTTTACTAAAGCCAACTCTCAAATCTCAATAGTAACTCCTCATTTACATTCTCAATATGTTTGATACTAACATATTTTTTTTGGAAGGCCTGTGTTTACACGCATACGCATTACGCATGTTCTGTTGTCTTGCATTTGACAAAAGATTGGCATAATAGAGTTTCGGAGTATCCTACAAATACCCTGTTGTCTTGTTTTTCCCTTTCTTGATCTGTACTTATTCTGCCGTCCCCATAGGCCAAGCCTTTAAATTATGTATCATCTTTTCATAGTTTTCTACTCTTAACTTAAGTCTTCATTATTATCTCCACCTTTCATGGTTTGCTCTTTTTAGATTAAATTTATCATTTTTCATTCTTTCCAGTTCTCACTTTCATTCTATTTCTACCCTTATGCACCCCTTATTATACGAGATTGTACATCTCTCATATTGGAGGAAAAACTAATTTAAATGAATTAAATATGGTTTCTTATAGACACCCCAACCGAAGTGCTTCATATAGCAAGAAGAAAGCCCAAACACAGAATCCATGTTTGGAAACATCTCATATCTGATTTATGTACTAATATATTGTGTTAATTGAAGAATACAATATTATTTGTGTTAGAATGATTTTAATTATTCTTTGGACTAACTATTACAACTCATTTGCCTAATTGTGTAGTGTATGATGTTTACAATTTGTATGATATTACACATCCTTCGATTAAATGTTTTTTACTAGAAGTAAAAGGACTACTTTTTGTGACATTACAATAATTTATAAATATGAATTTTATTTATGCCTAATATAAAATTTTGCATTGTATATATTTTTTCTCTACACAGTTTCATCTTATTGTTTTATTCACATTTAATGTAAAAACATTTAAACAATGTTTATTTAACAAATAATTAGTAAAAGAAAATTCCCCGTGCCTTACTAGTTTAGCCTTAGAAATAATAATACATAAATAATTTGTTTGGTAAGTTAGTTCAGGTTTTGAAAATGGGAATCCCATATTTGAACCAATAATCATCAAATTTCAATTAGTTTAATTTAAGTTTAACCCAAATTGAGAAAAAAAAATTGAACTAATTTAATTCATTTTGTATTTGTTTGAGTTAACCTGAAACAATGTTATTGATATTCTCCTGATAAAAAAAAACTTTAAAATTCTCTAAGCACTTGCAGCAAATCACTTTTGTTGGAGCGAAGAGGGGGCAGGTATTCTGGATCCGATTTTTGAATTGGAGTTGGCAGCTGTGGATGCTTTGTTTTCTATGATCAATCTATGTTTGGCGGCAGAGTAAGGTGGTTGGGCTTCTCGGAGCGATTCAAGTTTTTGACAACCTCATTCTCCACCAATGCCAAGACCAGTTACTCCTTTTGTACTTCAGCCAAGAACAACAACACCAACAAGAAAAACAATTACATCGCCGATGAAAGGTATCGTCAACTGGAGAATCTTGACATGATGACCGCCGCAAAGATTCTTTTCACTGATCCCCCTAAGAAGAAGAAGTTTGGGTATCCCATTTTCTCTATTCTATATTTATTCTCTTTCACATTTTTCATCGACCACCTTGGTTGCACTCTTTCTTTTTGCAGGGAACCAATTTCTCACGATAACATTATTTAATCATCCTATGCTCTCTTTGCATCTGTTTTTTACTACCACATTTGAGGTTTCATATTTGGTCCTGCACCTTTGCATTTAGTTAAGTAGATGAATTAAGTACTTGTTCAATAGAGTTATTATATTAGAGTTTATATAGTGAAGGATCACGTGGGTCAACTGGTAAGGATGCTCCAGCTTAACAAGTAGTCTCAAGTTTATGTAATTGCGTTAAATATTCAGAGGGAGAGTTTTGCTGCGTAGTGATCCTGTCCGTTTTGAACAAGATTGTCTTTGTTGGAGGATACATGTGGTTTAGAAAGAAAAAAAATAAAAAATATTAGAGTTTATATCATAAACTTGAGTAAGGTAAAATGAACTTAGATGTGAAGTTTATTGAAATTAGTCAAAAGAATTTAAAGGAAGGTCTTAAGTCACTTTCACAATTCATTAAATCCCAATTAGTTCGGTATATTAGCTTTTCCTATGGAAAATGATTAAGGTAAATTAAGTCAGGGACTAATACAATTGATACATCCTTCATATTATTGGTCCTTAACATTAGTAGAAAAGGCCGTGGAAATGATTAAAGCAGATCATGAATTTCAAAGTTAGAGATCAAAGTGAAATTAAAAGCAAGGACTAAAATGATTGATGCATACAATATGAAGGCTATGTTTACTCTTTTTCTTTGTGGAATGGGTAGGGGAGATTACTTTGTTTGTTTATACTGTAAATAGTTTAAAAGAGATTCTTACTCTGCATCTCTGTTTTACTTGTTCAGGTTTGATTTCCATCTTGTACAGTTTTTTTTTGCCTGCTTGCCTTCCTTGGGTACGAGACTCACACTTATAAGTTTTCCTTTTTTCATTTACGTTATTATTCATATAAAAAATTCTACTGCTATCTTCTGAGCAAGTTTTTTCAGCACAGCTGTGTATTTGGTGGCTCAGTATGCTCATTACGAAATGAGAAAAATGGAGGTGGTAAGTTGTCTTCCCTTTGTTCTGATATTGTAATATAAGGGTGAAACTTCAATCATCATATAAACATTGTTAGGATGCTTGTGATCATCTTATTCCTCTTCATAATCTAATCATTCAGTTCAGAATCCATCTAAAGTACTCTCAATGGAATCCTTTGGAAATGCAACTTCTTGTATGAAAATCTAACAAGGCCTGTATGGACTATTCAGCTTTCTGATCCATTTTGTTTTCCTGGTTAGACATTGATGATGTCTAAGCCATATCTCACACTTTTTGCAGTTGTTTGTTGTGGCAATACTGTGCAATTATAGGCTGAGAACTAATGAGAGATATAGTGTGTTACTTGTTTACTTTTTGTTTGAAATACATTAGACTTCTCTAGATTCTATTCTACGTTTTTGTTTTGTTGTACCTGTTACTTGTTGCTAGTTTGCCACTTTATTATTAATTATACATCTAAATAATTGGATGAATGGTACTCCTTTTTTGGGTTGATTTTTTTCCCTGATAATGGTTTTTCTCCGAAAAACTTAATAGGATGTGGCGCAGAAAAGGAAGCTGAAAGAAGAAGAAGAAGCAAAGGAAAGAGAAAAGGAAAGGGAACTAAATCCTCCTGAGGAAAAATCTGATCCGCAGCTTTCAGAGGTGAAAGTGAGACTTGAGAAACTGGAAGAGGTTGTGAAGGAGATTGTGGTTGAAACAAAGAAACAATCAAGCAGCAACCTAGCCAAAAACCAGGTTACCATTGATGAGAAAAAACACTCAAATTCCCCTGCACCAAGGAACACAAGTACCCCTGATTCTGCATCAAATAAAGCTGTAGATGAAGACAATCTTGGTAAGCATAATTCTCTCAAGTCAAAGCCAGAATTACATGAAGAGAGCAAGGATTCAGTTGCAACCGCAAATTCTGCTCCTCAGGATCCCAAAGGCCAGAATCAAAGTGGAGGGGCTTCTTAAGGTACTAGGATTTTTAGAAGTCGTTACACTTAAATGATCAGAAGCTATTGGGTTTTAAATTTTTATTGATATTTATCATTTCTCAAGAAATGAGTAGTTATTTAATCATGCCCCACGTGTTACCAAACATGTAAATCCCCTTCCCCCAGGAATTTTTTTTTATGTTTTATTGGGAAAGAAGATATAAATGGGAGAGCTATTTTTGGTGCATTAGTTTAGTCGCTATGTGTAAATATTTAGAAGCTAGAACGCAATTCCTAGTTGGGCTTTATGCTGCCTGTAATCACGCAAGGATCCAGTAAATTAATAGATTTTTTCTAGGCTATGATCATTTTGAATGTCTTGCGGAGTAAACTTCAAATGCATCTTTTCATCCTATTTAATTTTAGTTTAATTTTAGTTTAGTCCTTAAACATTGTTTTTTTTATTCAATTGAATCCTCTAAATTAGTTTTTTTATGACAACGTTTTCCTTTGTTAGCTTTGTCTCGCAACTTAGTGAAGCTGTTGGTCTTACTTGATGTTTTAACCCGTTTAATGAATCCAAAATGCTGTCATTTCGGACTAGTGTCTCTTCTTCCTTATCTTCTTTTTCCCTTTTTTGTGGGTGTGGCGGAGGAAGAAGGGAGCAGCTACAGTAATTACACGGGGTAAGATTGCGATCTTGAAGTGGTTGTCAAATGCCCATGTGGATAAATAAGGGTTTAGGTAGTCAAGGGAAGTGGTGTCAATTTCAAACTGGGTTTTAGGCTTTGGAGATTTGGAATTGAATCCTCTTGGACCAACACTTGGGTGAGAACTGAGAACCAACACTGAACCAAAATTTAGTCAGCTCTGTCTTCAGTTCCTATGTGTTAATTGAAACCGAAACCAGAGCATTTTTTACTTTTGTTTGTGGCAACAGCTCTGAACTCTTGTCTATGGTTGTGATTGCAAACAGGTAAAAAGTTCAGTGTGTCAGTTCCATGACCCTTTTTGTTGGTTTTTACTTTCATTTTTTTTTTTTTTTTTTTTTTTTTTTGGGGTTTGTTTTATGATTGCAAACAGGTAAAAAGTTCAGTGTGTCAGTTCCATGACCCTTTTTGTTGGTTTTTACTTTCATTCTTTTTTCTTTTTTTTTGTTATGGGTATGATATCATGCACAAAAGTATATGAAGAGGCACAAATCCAATCGGTAAGATCTTAAACATTAAAGCCTATTACTATACACAAAAATATTTTGTTTCTATTTTTGTTGGCGAAGCTTTTGATTTGTAGTTGGTGTCTGTGGAAGTTGTGTAACATTGGAAATGGCTGTATTGTAATTTGTGGTTTTTGCTCCGGATTCCATCTGAGAAAAAAGACAGTGAATTGCGGCATTGTTAATGGAAGGTTTATCTCTGTTCTGTGGATTTTGCATGTTTATTCAGTTCTATGACATTGATTTCAGCTTTACAATCTGTGAACATTGACACAATGTTTGATTACTAGTTTTCTACAGCTGAATAATAGATGCAACTATTTTGAGCTTGTTTCAAAATAATGTCTCAATAGATGTTACTCATAATTGGCGAAGCTTTCTCCATACCATTTTTGAATTGTCATTTCCCCTCATGTGCGGCCCCAAACAATCTCATCTATATTGTCATAGATTTAACATGTTTATCACTAGTTATGTTCAGACACTCTCAGATTCGGAAAAGGTTGGAATATACAGGCTTCAGTTTAGGAAGTTTCTTTGCTCCAATTATATTGCATAATTTGCATTAACAGAGTCTTGATTATTTAGTTGAAAACAGAGGACCTGTTGGACTTTAGTACTACGGATTCTTTCTGACTGAGTAACTTCTGAAGCAGATATATGTATTTGTGTTGAAATATACGCAGCTTTGTCCATCGGTATAATCCATAGTCTATTCCCAACTGATAAGAAGCGTATAGAAGAACTTTGGGTAGCGCTCAAGTTCAAAAATGCTTTTACTGTTGACAGAATAGGGAGAACCGGAGGTTTAGCATTTTTGTTTTTCTATTTTGGTCCTTATAATTTCTTGATTTTTTTTTCATTAGACTTAAAAGTTAATCTGATGTCAATTTTTTTACAAAAATGGAAATGAAAAAAAAAACAGAAAAATTAAAAAACAAAATCAATCTATTTTACATTACTAAATAGTTTATATAATAATAATAATATATAAAAGAAATATATTTGTGTCAATTTTTATTAAGATTTTATATTTATTTATTATATTTCAATATTTTTTTCTCTAATGTATTTCTTATAGATAAAATAGAGAAGGAAAACTATGTATATAAAAAGTAACGTCCATTTCTTGTTTATCTCCTCATCGCTGGTTTCTGGGACGGTCACTACTGATAGTATCTCTCCGTTGGTATTCTCAGACACTTAGTAAGCCCTTTAATCCCCTCACTTATTTTCTAAACTTCTCTGTTTCTTGATTCCTTTATATCTGATAATTTTCCATTTGAACTTTTCTCATTTTGAGCATGGAAAAGCTCACGGGTTAGGATTTTTTTAATCCTTTTCTTCTGAAACTGCACTTAGTGACTAATAAACGAGAGCAGTTCAAAATTGGTTATGTTTGTTTGATTCTGGTATGGCTACTCTTTACCACAGGCAGAATTTGGTCACACTAGCCAGAGGAAATACACTTTGAAGTCCTTCGACTTACACGTATTTATTTTGCCCGTTTGTTTTATTTAGAAAATCCATCCAACTTGAAATTTGATCATATGCAATAAATAAAACATTCAGTAAGTTATTATAAATGATTTTTAATTAATCAATAAAAAATTTGTTACAAAATTGTCAATAGATTTGATTTTATATATAAAAAAAGATAATGTTTAGTTATTAAAAAAATATTAAGTTGCTAATAAACTAGCATTTGCAATACACATGCATGTTTATTATATATAATTAAAATTTATAATAAAGTATATGTAAATAAATATTATATTTGAATATATAAGTTGTATTTAAAATTTGTATCAATTTTTAAACATGTAAATTATATTTAAATTTATAATAAATAATTTATATTATTATACAAAATAATTTTTATTTATTGATAATTTATTTTAAAATATTAATATTTAATTTATAAATAATCATTTGAATCATATAAAAAGTTAAAAGAATCTTTATAATTCTTTTCGTCGAAGGAAAGCTCATTGTTGTTTAAGATAGTAGTTTATATTTAATATACATGAGTTGATTCTTGAAACTTGAAACATGTAGAATACTTTAAATAAATAATTCATAAATAAAATGTTAAAAAAATAAATTAATTAATATAAAATATTTCACAACTCTGCAATCGCTTATAAAGGATACCATTTTATTCATGGTTGGTTAGATAAATTGTGTAATCTTTATTTAATCTTTATCAAGTCTTATTTGTCATTAAATTTATTTATCAATATTTGTTTAAAATATTTTTAATTTCACCCCTATTTGTCATTCTAACTAGATACTCTTTTCTAATAACTGTACTTTTTTTAATAACAACCATTGTTAAATAATTATTTTCTCTTACTAAATAAAATCATCACCATTATCTTTTAGTAACTTCAAATATATTTTTTTAAAATAAATATGTAGAGACACAAAGTGTCTCTTTCTCTTTCTCTTTATTTATATTTATTTTAAAATTTTCTAGTTATACACTTATTTGTTAGTAGTATTTTAACATATGTAATATACAGGTTAAATGTTTATTATTTATAACTAAAATTTAATTAAATTATGTATATAAATAAATATTATGTTTGAATATGTAAATTATTTATTTTTTGATTTTATTTTAAAAATATTAAATTTTAATTTTTAAATAATTATAACAAATAAAAATTAAATTAAATATGATGCTAAAAAAATTTCTAAAAATAATTTAATAAAAAAAACTCCTATAGACATTATGATACAAAATAATTGTTTGTGTTTTATATATAAGAATAATTTTTACACTCTCATTTAAATAAAATTTAAATTGAATATTCTTTTTTTTTTTTTTTTTGCTATTGTAACTACTGCAAGACGTGTATAACTCATTACTTCTCTTATTTAAATTATAAAATATATAAAGACACAAAATGTTTTAATTTCATTGATGAATAATTATTTATGTTGCCTGTTATTATTTAAAATGGAAAAAATAACACATATGAAAGTGGAGGTGTTGAAACATAATGTACCTTTCAATTAAGGTATACTTTAGTGTAATATTAATTGTTTCATATATTTTATAAAATGACATATATGAATAAAAAAAATGATTTGTTTTGATATATGACAATATGACTTTTTAAATGGAGAAAAAAAATGTGTATTTGATTATAGTATAAAATAATCGATCATTTACCCTTTTACTAACATGTACGTGGCCGGAGAGACGTACCTGGGAGGATGCAGGTCATGCCTTCAAAATGTTTGTTCATTATTAATACTGACATAAATTTTTTTAATGATAACATTGTAGTTTGATTTTTAATGTCACCTAATTTTATAGAAAATTCAAGACCATAAGATCTCCGATTGACACAGTGTACAATACAGAGAGAGAGAGAAGTTCTTAGATACATACATAATACTAAAAGGTCCTATCAAAATATACCCATTCAAAGAAGGGGTCGAATAGATGTGCTACAACAAAGGACGTACAATTAGATTTATGTATTATAATTTTGTTGATTATTTTTTAACTATTATTAAATGTTCTACTAATTATTGAAGGTGAAATTAAGCTTAATTATGCAAATAAAGATTGTCACGATCAGAAAATAGATGGCACTTGCAAAGATTTAAACAGGAAAAAAAAAATGAGTGTGATTAGGTTGTTATCAAAATACACGTGTTCAAGATCTTTTAGGGCCTATCATCCAACGGTATATAAAGACTAAATACATATGTTTTGGATTCATTATTATTAGATAACTAATTGATGCCTCTATTATCACAAAATTTGTTTGAGGATACTTTCAAGTTTCATCTATAAAATATGTGAAGAAAGAATTTTTAAGTTTTATTCACAAAATTTGGATGGAAGATTTTCATATATATATATATATATAGATAGATTCGTTTATTCAAGAAGTAAATCTATTATCTAGACTTACTTTATTCAATAACGTATGTTCTATATCAAATTTTAATGATTCAATTATTGAAATTAAAGTTCTTAATGTATAGATCAAGTATACAAATTTTTAAAAAACTTGAAAATTATTTGATACTTCATTTCATTAATTCAAATTGATGGATAATCATAAAATCATTTTATACATTAATTTGAATTAATGAAACGAAGTATCAAATGATTTTCAAATTTTTTTTTATAAATTTGCATATTTGATCTATGTATTAAAAACTTTAAATTTAATAGTTTGATTGTTGAAATTTGATGTAGAACATGAATTATTGAACAGAGTTAGTCTACCATACTTACTTCTAGAGTAAACAGATCTCTCATAATATATATATATATATATATATATATATATATATATATATATATTTGTAATTTATTTTGATAGTAATTAACTTTCTTGTGAACGTAGACATGAGAGGTTGAATCACATTATATAAATTTACGTAATCTTTTTATATTTCTTTTATAGTGTTGTTTTAATGTGTTTTTATTGTTGTTGTTGTTGTTATTATTATTATTATTATTGTGTGTAGGGGAAAATGAGATTTTTTTGTTTTCAACGAATTATTGAATTAAAAGTTGAATCAATACGTCACTAGTTAAATTGTATGATTTAATTTTTATTAAACTTCTTAAAAGATATTCATTTCAAATATATTTTATATTTATAAATTTTAATAAAAACTCATACAATGATTTAAAGAAGTTCCCAAAATAATTATAGTTGATATAATACCAACAGAGTAACCAAATTACAAATTGGTTGAACATCATAAATTAATATATAATTTAAAATTAAAAATATACTATATAAATTATTTAAATCAATTATATAATAATAAAATAT